GAGTTGCCAGTTAAGTTTCTAATTTCATTAAAAAAAATTAAAAAGGAAAATGCCCTTACAATTTGTAACCACACTACTGCTGATTTTTTTATTACATCTTGTGTTTTTTTTTGCTCTTGTTATTATCTATTTCTTATGATATTGATAAGAAGTACCAACATGATACATCATGTAGCATTAAGCTAAACAAAAGAACAGCCTAAAGCATGTTTTATATAGCACCAAACAGGAATGCTAAGGTGAAAAACCACCCTAACCAAAAAATCTGCCAAATTCTTAATAGAACCCTTCACCATCAACGTAAAATCTCACAGCTTTTTATCTACCACATTATGATCACCATATAATCTGAAAAAAATGCATCATCTTATCAGTTTCAAATGCAAAATCCTGCCCTGAACTTTCTAAATCCATTTTAAGCCATTATGTCCAACTTTCAATTCAATGTAACACACAACATTTACTACTACTTTTTTTTTAAGAATATTTTTAGCATTGCCAAAATACACATGCACTTTTACTTTCTTGGGAGAAAATGTGTCTCTTGATTTGTTTCCAATGTATGTATTCATGCCAGCAACTAAAATGCTTAAAGAATAATCACCAAGAGAATCAGCAACTAAACCTGCAAATTTTAATCAATAAATAATCTATTAACATACAAGTAAATTTGTCTTGGCTGGGTAAAATGTACGAATTCTCAGGGCTCTCAGCATACGTGGATGGCTCAAATAATTGTTTCACATATTCAAGGGAATATGACACCCATGGCAAGTACTTGTAAGATTTGCCCCTTCCTCACCTAATTTTGTGGTTGTGAATTCCACCTCCCGCAATTGCTGGTTATTAAATCCATTCCTTAACTTTTATTTTCTTTTGTTTGTATCATCAGGCTGTGAAGCTGGGAGTCACTGCCAAATATAAGGCAAGGAAGTGTGAGATATGCTCAAAATATGAGTCATAGTATATTTGGAGATTTATTTTTTTTAAACTATGAGAAGAACACATCACCCCTTCTCTATCCAAGTTCTCATACACCAAACGTCTAAAATTTGCTAAAACAGATTTCTGGCTATAGTGATTGAGGTCAAGATATATTGAAAATTATCAGTGTAAAACATGCGTTTGCGTGCAAACTATTCAAGGTATGATGTCCTAATGAGACCATAGGATGCCAAGGTGTATTTAAATGCTCTGGCTATTTTATCTGTGAATCACAAGGTATATGAGAAATGATTCTCAGCAAGGTGATAACAAATTAGCTTCATAGTACTGTACTAGACTAAATTTTCCACAGCTGTTTGTGCCAGTCCAGTTTACCTGACAAAGCCTGCCAGCCAATATTAAATTAGAGAGCCGAGACTGAGATTTCACTTAGCAGTATTCTGCAGCAACCATAAATTGTATGCGTATGAACTACATTCAGTATTCCTATCAAGCTGGCCTACCCTCCCTGCCTGTCAACTCATGAACTCAAGGGTGGGCAGAGCCACAAAGCATCTTATTAACAGAACCAACATTCTAGATTAACTTCTTCCCTTCCCCCCACATTTCATAGAAACAGAGCTCTAGACAACACTCATTAAGGCACTTTTCAGCAGTGCCCTTGCCAAGCATGTAAAAAAGCAGAGCAAAGAAATTTCTGTAGTATTCTATAATGGACAAAAATAAGTAACATCCAGTAAACACTGTACGTATCCAAAGGGATTAAGGTTTATGGTCATTTACTAAGTGCAAAGACAACTTGGTTCATTATTTAAATAAACTTTCTAAAATGGGCACATTTTTGGAATGGAAACTATACAGGTTGATTTTGTAAACTGTATGACAGAAATAATATCTCCTATTTAGAGCAATGTGATCAGGCAGATGATGGTGTGTGTGTGTGTGTGTGTGTGTGTGTGTGTGTGTGTGTGTTGTTTTCTC